ATGAAATACAACTTCAAAGAGTGTACTATCATATAAAACAAGCAACTACGTCTCTTTATTTATATATACGCAATTGGTACGCGACCTTTTCGTACGAACTTTTAGGATACCCTTTACATATGAAAAAAACGCTTCGAACTTCGTCCTTTAACGCAGACATTTAGGTGACATGAAAAAAATTCAATAATTGACAAAACGAATATTCACTAGATAAGTGTCTTGATTAAATAATCGAATTGCAGAGCTACCTCGTTTAATTTATCACGAGAAAAAATGCTTTAACATTCATCAATTTAATGCAAATAAGAGAGAACAGGTAAAACATGTAATTGACGATGGCGAAATTGAAGGTTGATTAGACGAATGGGATAAATAAATGCTTATACCATGAAGAAACACTTGTTTGCCTATCATTAGCGAAGAAAATTTGTTTTTCTTCTTTGCTCGATCAACAAGGATGCCTAACAGAGCTACAGAATGTCATTGCTAGCTGCCCAAACGACTGTTTATGACACTGATTTGAAATGAAAAACAAAACATCAACGAAGTGAGAGTATATTGTATACCGCTATCCAAAGAAAAAAATGTCTTCTCATTATCGAATCAAGATCGGTACGGAAGACGATTGAAAGCTCCGAATAAAAATTTTTATAAAGAAACGTCGATGAGACTCACATAAAAGAGAAGTACTTCAATAGTGAAGATAGGCAAAGTTGTCTATCAACATGCAAATAAACATTTGTTTTTCCCTTCGTCTAATCATATGGTATATCAAACCAAAGTAAGACATACAATGAGTGCCCGTCCGAACGAACGTTCAATAATAATACTAATATGAAATAAAAATTCTTATATTTTGAAGAAAGCTTACTGTGCTTACGCATATACATGTATATTCAAACAAAAGATGTCCTGAACTTTGTTTTCAAACGGAAGATAAGGCGAAAACCGAGATTGGTAATTGTGAAAATGAATATTGGTAAGTGTCACAATTGTATTATTTGATCACAAAGCGCTGTTTATATCAAAAGGAAAAAAATGATTTTACCTTCATCGATTCACAGCAATAAGAGAGAACAGATAAAACATATGATTGACGATGGCGAGAATAAAACTTAATGAGATGAATGTGATGAATAAATGCTTTTATCATGAAAGGATACCTCTTTATCTATCATTTGTGGAAAAAAATTCGTTTTTAGTCTTCGCTCGTTCAACAGTAGTACTAAGCCGAGTTACAAGCATATACCATGGGAGACTCCAAAATATCGTTCATGCCACTGATTTGCAATAAAAAATAAAAAATCCGCGAAGTGAAACAACATCTTATTTTATTACAATTCAAAAAAAAAGAACGTCTCGCCCTCATTTGCATCGAATTTTAGGAATTTAAAAAAATAAACTCTATTTTTAGAGATTAAATTTCAAGTTATAATTGATCTTACATCTTGATGACAAAGATTTTTAAGTGAAAACCTATTCTAGGATTACTCTTCATCTGTGGTCATGAATTCGATGGAAAAAAAATAATTCTCTAATTTATATTTATTCCATATAAGATAAAAACAAATCGTTCAAATAATTACAGATGAAATGAGATTAAATGAATCAATATTTGAATTTTTTTAAATGATATTGGAAAACGATAACGTATGTTACACATATTTAAGATCTAATAAATAATTAAAATAGAAGAATTGAATATTTTACGAATATATGAGATATACAAAAGATTCCAAAAAATTTAATAAATCCGAAACAACTCATGTTACTCTATAATAAGGCTAAGTACTTATATTACAAAGGACAGGGGCGCATAAGAAGCCGATTTGGCCCATAGGATATTTTCAGTTACTTTATCGCCTATCCTATTCAGAAAAATGTGATGATTCTTTTGGTAATAATTTCAAGTCAAGATGTGAGGATTATAAGCTATTTTAACGGAGAATACGTGCAAAAAAGTATTGAAGTTTCATTGGGCTCATAGTTGTCTAGTATTAGCTCAAAATATATGACTTTTAGGCAATGTTTCAAGCTCAATCTATATTGGTCAGAAAGAGCATTTAATTCTGCATCGTTTCATGTAAGAACTAATATTTTTTCATTAAAAATGTAATCATGGAAAATACTGTCCTTTCACAGGGGTATGCTTCGGTACCTCACATTCGAACAATAATTAGAACTGTTTGACATGCTTTTACGTGTAAGCCAAGTTTTTTTATATGCCATTTGATAGAGCGAAGAAAGAGCTACAAAATGATGCATAATTTATTTGATTGCAATATGGGCCACTATATCGAAAGTGTGCATGAAAAGTACACTTTTCTGCTCATTATTGAGTAAATTTGATAAGAATAATTCGACTTTTGATAGATGAAAACGGTATATTTTAAATCAGCATAAAAAACTGAGTCGATCCATATAGTTTTGAAAATTTTCTGACTACTTTTATTTTCGTCCAAAAATTCAACTGGGGTCCCCCTCAGGGTTAGGTCAAAAAATGAAATCGATTGAAACGCCATTCGGACTGTGAAAAACAAGTTCTGCAGTTCTTAAAAGTTAAGAAAATTAAAAAACACAAATGACTAATAAATAAAAACACTGTTTTAATGGATTTCATTTTTTGACCTAACCCTNTATCTACATCCAAATCCTCATCCTCACCCACACCTTCACCGACACCAACACCCTGACCCTCATTCACACTCACACCCACACTCACACTCATATTCACACCCACACTCACACCCACATCCAAATACTCACCCTCACCCCACACCCACACCCACACCCACACCCACACCCACACTCACACTCCACACCCACACTCACACTCCACACCCACACTCACACCCCACACCCACACTCACACCCTCAAGCTCTAATTCTAGTTATTAAACATCCCAATCAATCAAAAGATGATTGATCCTCTCAGACAAGTTGCAGCACCACCAGCAATATCGTATTTGAAGTATTATTGCTCTGTTAGCTGTTCTGCTTTTTGCTACCATCTAGACAGGGATACGTCTCTCATTGATACCATTTGTTCGTACATCATGCATTATAGATTTTTAACGAGTTGCTCTTTGGAAAACGCTGGTAAAACCAAGTCACACCACAACTTTCTCGAAAAATGCTTGAAAAATAATAAAGTTATAATACGCGTCCGGATGTCCAGCTGTTTCTGACATCCTCTCTCTATCAGAAAATGACCAGTCTTTGCTGATTCTCCTCTTCCCTTTTCCAGGACGTCCTTTATGGGTGATTCCGTAGGACAAGACTTGCTTATTGAGCATCAGAATACAGGAAACCTTGATCACTCCTCCAGTGCAACGGGTTGTAGTCTTAGTTGTCCGAACAGACTGCAAAGCAGCAGGAATGGTGAATCAGCAGTGTTCGATGCTGCACATACAGCCACGTTCTCGGTCGAGTTTAATCTACAAGACAGTTCAAACATTGGGGCGAAAGATTTGGTCCAGATTCCTTGTAGTCCTTGTGGACCATGTGGCCCTTGTTGCTCACCTGGTGGACCTGGATGCAGCCCATGTTGTTCGTGTAGTCCAGCAAAAAACGCCGCTGATATTCATTTTATCTTTAACACAATCGATGATGGGATTCATCAAATTTCTATGGGTTACGTGGAAGAAAAAGGCGAAACCAAGGACTCGGTGGAGGTACCATGTTCTCCATGTGCTCCATGTGGTCCATGCTGTGCGCCTGGCACGCCTGGATGTAGTCCATGTTGCCCGTGTAGCCCTAGTTCAAAAAACATCAATCTTCTCTGGTCTCTGATCTGGATTTTTGAAGTTTTGAGTTTCTTGATCAAAACATTTCGAAGAAAAATCAGCTCCAGCGATTTGAAGCTGCACATCAGTAAAATGCCTACTGCTCTTCCTGTATCTGTATGGCCTTTCGTTACCTGCTTAACTCCGATAGCATGCGCTTACACTGGCTTGCCGGTCGGTATGAGTCTTATGCTTCCTGTTTTCAGCATTTTAAATACAATTTCTGGCTCCGGAAGTCCTGACTATTATGCTCACCATTCTGAAAAAGCACCTAAATATGTAAAGCTTGCACAACAACTTCATCTGATGATGACTCCCAACGACCACGAAAAGCATCATAAAAATCCACGCACTGGTTATGCTTATTTTAGTCCAATTACCAATATCGTCCTGGATAATTTTGGCTTCTGGAAAATAGTTAAAGTGGCTATGGAATGGCAAAAAGGGATAAAAGCAGTGCCTGTTCCCATACCTCTGTTGGAGTAACAGAGAACTCTCTTTACTGAAATGAACGTCTTCGAGCTGTATATTCGTCTTCTATTAAGAGCACTCCATTCAACTAGCTCATTTTCACTCATTTGGGTTTGTGTGAGGGTGTGACTGTGAGTGTGGATCAGGGTGCTGGTGTGAGTGAGGATGAGTATTTGGATGTGGGTGTGAGTGTGGGTGTGAATATGAGTGTGAGTGTGGGTGTGAGTGTGAATGAGGGTCAGGGTGTTGGTGTCGGTGAAGGTGTGGGTGAGGATGAGGATTTGGATGTAGATATGGATGTGAGTGTGGGTGTGAGTGTGAATGAGGGTCAGGGTGTTGGTGTCGGTGAAGGTGTGGGTGAGGATGAGGATTTGGATGTAGATATGGATGTGAGTGTGGGTGTGGGTGTTCACTTCTCTTTATCTATAACCACACACCCACACCCACACCCAAGACCAAAGGGTAATCGATAGCGGGGAGTCCGAATCTGAAGTCAGGGTGTGGGTGTGTGGTTATAGATAAAGAGAAGTGAACACCCACACCCACACCCTCTTTCAGTAATATCAAATCTGATGTGCGCTGAGGCAGAGGAATCTCACTGCAATGCATGATCTATTTACTAATGAAACTGGTTCATGGCAAAGTTCAGTATATCTCTTGCTAAAACAAATTCATAATTCGACGAGAAAAAGTCTGTATCATTCGCCTTTTATTTTCGTTTGTCCCCAACAGATATGCATATATCTAACGTTTGGAGTAGAGGGGCAACGGATTATCATTAATAAATTTAATGAGATGTTCAACAATTTCATGTGGCTTATCTTCTTGTAAAAAATGACCAGCTTGAGAGATTATAGCATGCGCTTGATTTTTAGCACCTGGTATCAACATTTGTAAGAATTTTTCCGCACCAGCTGTTATTGGATCCGAGTCAGAGAATAAAGTTAAAAATGGTCTATTGAATATTTGCAAATTTTTCCATGCATCACGATTATATTGTGACGAAGGATTATCAGGGGTTGTTGGAACCAATTCTGGAAATACCAATGCACCAGCCTGATATTTTTCATTTGGAAATGGAGCATTATAGGCGGCAATTTCTTCTGGTTTCATTTCTCTTAAAACTGCACGTTTTATTATTGAACCAACATCCATTTTTGTTTGTTTCGATGCAAATTTTTGCCATTGCAAGAAAGCGTCGGACATAAGCATATCACCGGTAGGTAATCCACCATTTGCAACTACCACCCGCGCAAAACGATTATCTATTCCATTTGTGCCAACCAATTGTAAACCAATCAAACTGCCCCAGTCCTATCTCAAGCATACAACATAATGATTATCTAATTTACCTATACCAAAGATCATGTGACGTTTTTCCTGTAGAGCAAGCGTAATATTTGGTGATTGTATTCCGCATATCTCAAGAGTTCGGAGTCCAACTTTCAGTACACAGGGAAGGCACTGAACTTTGCTTTTTCTTCTTTACATACAGAAAACTATTTCTGTAAAGGACAGTGATTGAACCGAAGAATGATCTGGCTAAAGAACAACAGTAAATTGGCAAAATATGAACTGGAAAGGATATATCACGCAGGTTTCGTATCTCATAACTCACATGTTGTTGCACCGCAGAAATATCCTTCAACTGTGATAACATCACGCATTGGCCTATTGCGCAATGCATCGATTCCCGAACCAATTAATTAAGATATTGTGTATATTAATAGAATTCTTGCGAGAGTAAAGCGATGGCGTTCAGAGAAGCGATTTCACGTAATACTCAAGCAGAGAAGAATTTTGGTTGAGTTATATGAAATCATGAAAAATTTGATTATCTCGAGTTACTCAATACGGTATTGCAGTGTGATTATAAGTAGAAAAAGGGTCGAAATTAGATAGGAATAACACAATTTTTCCAATTAGGGCCAATGATTCTATGAAGAATACGCGATCATATCGAATCATATCTAAAAGCTCGAAACACTTCAAACAGTATCTTTGTGTCACTGTTTTAGTTTTTATGACTGGGAAACGACTGAACGCTTTCTGGAAGACCCTGAGATATAGTTATACTGAAAGCACCGCCATATCTATTCGGCTTAACGCTGTACTTGAAGTCGGCTCTAAATTCACTGACAATATGCTTCTTGTCCAATTTGAATTCTAGGCGTGTGAAATTTTCTGCGATAAAATGATAGAGAGTTTGGACTTTTAAAAAGTAGAAGAGAGTATGTATATCTGTAGGAGGAAGTCATTCTTGGATGGATGATAATTCATTTCATAGGGAATGATCTTGAAATTGAAGAAGGGAACTTTGAATCAAGAAAGTATAATGTTTCCAAAAACGTTTTCTCCGATTTGCTGCTAAAGACTTATTGTTGATCAGATAGGTAAGATCCGTAAACACCTATGCATATTAATTCCAGTAAAGCAATAATTGCACTGAAACTACGTCTTTTGAACTTGTATAGATCATGAGCATCATCTGATCTGTTCGGAGTGCGTCTCAAGTCTCAATTCCTGACAATCATCGCTCTTTTCAATGCATCTGATATCAATTTTATTCTCACTACCGAGTAACCGTTGTATGAGCTAATATGCGTGTTTATGCTAACCCTTTACGACCGGCTCCAGAGATGGGCAGCTCCGACCCTTCCTCGCTCCAGCTCCGCTCCAGCTCTAGCTCCAGCTTCACTCTAATGAAAAAGGGTTTTTTGCGATTTTTCTTAAAGTTAGATGATGTTGAATGTATTAAACGGTTTACTTCAGCATACATATATATCGGCTTGTCCAAACGTAACGCTGTGACACGTTTTTTGTCGCCGTGACACACTAAGTCTTGTTTCAATTTTTGAGGTACTTAACTTATTCAAAATGACTTGATTTCTATAGTAGTTAATCTTCCGTGTATGCGTGGTCGTTTTACGCAAGAATGAGATTGATACATCCAACTGGAAGCCCATAAACTATTCAATAAGTTGGGAACTGTACCGCATTCTATGAACCGTTGTTCGCTATAAATGAAAAACGTGAATATACCATTTTGTAGAGAATCAAATTTTGCGTCGAATGATATGAGTCTCATTATTGCCTGAGAAACGTTTCCGATCAATAAATTCAAAATACGATATTTGAAAACTTTAAAACTAGTTTTTCGACACGAAAACTTAAGGTTTTTACAAAATTAATGTCAAATTCGTAATCAGCACTAAAATCTGCATCTAATAATCTATCCAAATCTACTGCCCCCGGAAAAAAAAATTTTGAGACTTTTCAAAACTTAATCAGCGAAGTAGCGAGTTACACGGACAAGCCGATATATATATATGTATATATATAAATAGAGAATATAGGAAAACAACAATTAAAAATACGATTAAAAAAGAAATAAATATCAATACATTTCAATTAGCTTGTTTACAACATGAAAATTATTTCTGATGATAAATAGACTACTGAACTCCAATAATTGTCGATTGAATTTTAGTATAATTAACATTGAGAAGATATTGTTAGAGAGTGGATGTGGGTTTAGTTTAGATCAAGATGAGATAAAAATCAAGACCCACACCCTACTTTGTTCCTTCAACTTTCAGTTGAATGAAAAATGTTGTTCTGTTCTATCATTACTCAATTCTGTCACATTTTATTTGCTTTAATTTTCTCTCTTTGCCAGCGTCGTGTTCGTACATTCAAAACTAACAATAGCGGAGTCCAGTCAGCCATAGAACAATAAACCAAACGAACGTTCAGTCATTATCTTAAGCGTTGTCATTGATTAAAATGTAACAGTGACATATTCATTACATTGAATACTATATGATGAGCTTTTCTTTCATTAATTTCCCCGTCTTCGTTCACAAAGGAAAACCCATTTAAAAATGTTAGGGATAAAAAAAGATTAAAATCTGATGAACCAAATTGATTATGACTCATGCAAATCGATGAATATCAGCTGAAGATTTTTCATGAATCACGAACAAAATCAATTAAAATCGATTTTTTTAATCACATTTGAACCGATTATAATCGAAATTAATCCAAAAAGGAGGGTATGATTGGAACTAGAGAGAAAAAGTCCGCTCCAGCTCTGCTCCAGCTCAACTTTTTCAAGCAGCACTCCGCTCCGACCCCGGTCTCGATGAAAAAAAAAACGTTCCGACTCCACTCTAGCTCCACCGTTCTGATGAATCGCTCAGCTCCGCTACGCTCCATGGAGCGCTCGCTCCGAAGTCGGAGCTGCCCATCTCTGGCCGGCTCCTATAAGCAGTAAAGTAAAAAATTCTTGAACTAGATATTTTTTATGATTGAACCATGGAGACAACGAAATTTCAATTTTGGAAGTCAAACAATGAGATATAAGCAAATATCACGATGGTACCTTTTGGTACCATTCGGCTGTAAGGGGTCAAAACTTTCGAAATCATCACGCGTCTTTTAAAGGTACAATTAACAATGTATATTGAATTTTCTCAAACTTAGTTTGAATTCTGAGAAGTCATGCATTCCCATTACTATGAACAGAGTACACATATAGGACTTTTACTGGAATATTGACAAATCCCTGTGGTAGCCCACAGGTCACGGAAAAATACGACGGTCTCATGAACAGTACTCAGAGAATTGTAATTACTCGCTTGTATGAATCACCATTATCTTTCAGATCTGTGTATGCATTCTTACTTCACGCTTACCTGGCAGAATAATGTAATATCATTTAAATTTAAATATTCAATAGCTTCTTGGATCCAGTTAACATGTCTTTGGTATGTATAATCAACTTTATTTATCGGTTTATCTGATTTACCAAATCCAATTAAGTCCATGGCAATTATTCGATATTCTTTTAATAAGGGTATAAAATGACGATATAAATAACTCCAACTTGGTTCGCCATGCAATAACAAAATTGTTTCTCTACTGTTCTTACTTCCTTCGTCTAAATAATGTAGACGTAATTTTGTTTCTCCATTACCAATACAGCCAGGATTCGATAAATTAATATAATTTGGTTCAAAAGGATAACCCAATAGGTTGATGAATGCTGAATCGGGCGTACGTAATATACCTGTATATGTTGACATTCTATGAAGTTCATTTTTGAATGGAATTCTGGTAAATATCGAACGAAACATGTTTTGTTTCGGTTGTATTTTATAAAGTATTCTTAGTAATCTAAATAAACTTTGTAGGTTCGTTTCTTAATCTACGTGAATTCATTTTAAACAAAGTTTATTTATACTACATATCTGATTATTCTTCAAACAATGAACAAAAAAGAATGTAGTGAAAAAGATTTGTAAAGTACACTGTCATGAAGAGATATTTTTATTGCACTTTGTGATAACTGAAAGATTGTGATTATATTAGCTGAAGCTTTAAGGCGGCTAGAAAAAGTATGGATTCTCTCTGCCCAGGGAATAGAAAAATGAAAAAATGACATTTTTCATAATGAAACGGACATAATCATGCATGTTTCTCCATTTTCATCAATTAAAATGAAAATTTGACGAATTTCATTTCATGATTTTGATTTTTAATCAAAATAATGAAATGTGATTGTGAAAATTTTGATGTTAATTGATGAAAATAAACAACATGCATGATTATGTCCGTTTCATTATGAAAAATGTCATTTTTTCAATCTTTTTACATAAAAATCACCATTTTTTTCCGTTTTTTAATTTCATGGATATAGCCAGAACATCGACAATATCATTATTTCATAACAACAAAATAAGTCTCTCCAAAAGGTTTCTTCTTCATATTTAACTAGCCTCTTATCTTTCTTATTCACCATATTTTGGCCTATTTGACAAAAAAGAACAAATAAGAAGACCTTATCTTTGTCCTGCCTTTTATTTATTGTCAACAATAGAAAAAACTCGACTTACATTATACTTGTGACGATTTTCGATAGGAAGAATAGTAGTGCGGATGATCTTAGATTTTATTATATTTCTTCTCGTTAATAGTCACGTGTTTTTTATACAAAGCATACGCTTATATACTCAACCTTCAGAGAGAAGAAAAAATATAAGAAAAGAAAGGATAAATAAGGACAGAAAATAAGAGAAATATGATAGGAGCAAAGTACAACATTGTGACGAAAAATGATAGATAGAAGAGAAGATAGTGTAGATGGAGATGCACATTATTCCATTTCTTCATATCATATTATCGTCATCTGACGATTAATGATAGAAGGATTATTAGTGTTGATGGTATTACACTTTAGTTTATTCCTTCATATCATAAAATCGCCTCGTTTACATATAAAGTACACGTTTATATACTTGAGTAGAACAAGTGATGGTGAAAAGCAAGAGGATGAGGTCAAGGAGAGAACAACGTAAGAATAAAAAGATGGTGAGGCCAAGGAGCGAACATATATAGAAGAACAATAGAGTAAGAACATAGCGTAAGAAAAGATAGATGAAAACAATACATATAATATACGAGTGAGTGATGATATAGAATGAATAGAAGGTTCAATCATCATATCGTACATATAGTGGTAAGACGCATATTTTTTCTTCTATATCTTATTCTTTCTTTCCTGCCACGCTTGTTCACCTATAAATAACACGTGGATTAACACGTGACGTTTTTTTTTCTTTCTTCTATTTAATATATTATTAATTAAAAACTTAGTAATATAATTAACAATGTCGAATAAAGTTCCAAAATAAAATAAAATTATGAATACAATTAATGATGGTATTAAAGATCGACGTGATACAGAATTAACTTTCTTAAAGAAAGTTAATGAAGAATATGCATTACGTTTAACACCAAATGGAAGTGGACAAGGTGAGAAAAGAATTAGAACAGCTAGTGATGAAGAATAAGATAAAATTATCAATGAATATGGTACACCAAAAAGATCTCGCTCAAGTCAAAGAAAAACCCGTACAATAACCAATTCTTATTATGCAGCGACAGCTTCATCCAATTACAGCAACATTTCTTCACGAATGGATAAAATGGACAACCAATTAAATAATAACCAAAAAAATGCAACTGTTAAAACAGGAGATTTTAAATTTAAAATTACGAGAAATGCTATTACTTATGCTGTTGAACAAAATCTTCCTGCAATTCGTCTTGAATGTGAACCCAAATTAAATGAACATAAGGATGGTGCTGCATTAATAAAAGAATTAATTAAATCAATTAAAGATGATTTTAAAAAATCAACCCAAAAATAAAAACAAATAGTGATATTGGTTTTGATACTTGGTTTATTGATAATAAAGGTAATTTACTATGTTATACTAATAATATCAATTTATTTGTATTCTTATGTGATGTACAACATGCACCTAATAAAATTATCAATACTAATGTTAAAGTTATTTTACCAAAACATTTACCACCTAAAAGATCAATCATTATTAAAGGTGTACCAAATTCACTTTGTACTGAGGATATTAAAAATATTCTTGCACAAAAGTTCACAACGATTTATATAATTGATGAAATTCTAGGTACAAATAATGGTAAATCTCGCTATGTCAGAATGGATTTATTAAATGAAATTTAATATCAGCAAATTCTTAATTCAGGTATAATATGTATGGAAGGACAATGTTTACATGTTGTTGAATATCTTGCTGCTCCACGTGTGCTCTTCTGCTCTAAGTGAAATGAGCCAGGTCACAGCAAGAAAAATTGTTCATTTGATTTTGAACGCTGTAGAAGATGCGGTGGTGATAGAAATGTTGGTCAACATAATGAATGTGAAATTAGATGCCATAATTGTAAAGAAGAACATTTATCAACTGATTATAAATGTGTTGCTGTACAATGTTATCGTCGTGATCTTATTCAACATATTCAACAACATCCCGAATCATTACCAAATGATACTCAATTATTTATTCCTTCTCAATATCGACGTCAAGGTGATAAAACAATTAGTAATCGAAATGTCATACACGTCAAACACTTGATAATCAACAATGAAAAAACAAAATTAACTCTGAGGAATGGCCACTATTACCACCACCAACTAGATCAACAATTTCTTTTTCGAAATATTCAACTACATGTCCATCAGACATAATGAATAATTTTAAACTACTACTAAACCAAACCGAACTCAATTGTGCTTTAGCTAAAGAAGAATATGATAGAAAAAATATGGAAATTAAATCACAAATATCATTAAGCATTAATCAAATTCAATCCTTAATTACTTGCTGCTCATCTGTTATACAAAAACAAAATGAAGCAATAGCTGTTTTAAAGAATGCAATTTATGAATGTTTAGAATTTAATCGTGTAACTAATCAAGCTTTATGTTTTATTATGGATAAATCTGGTGATCAACATTATGTTGAAATATCAAAACAATTATCATCTATTCCATTTGCTGAAAGACAATCATCCATTAACAAATTATTCTCCACTTATGCACCAATTTTAGATGAATTTACAATGAAACTACTAGAAGTTACGCAACATTTACATGTAAATATCAACAATGGTTTATAAAGATTTTAGATATTCATCACCATTGATTAATGAAGAATTAATTAATAACTACAATGGCCCTCTAAATGACAAATTAGAACTGGAGTTAATGATTGATGAATGGAACACTAAAGTATGTGTATCTGATCTTTGTAAAAAATGAAAGAAAAATAGACCTGATAATTCAGATAATAATCTGTTATTTTTATTATACAACATTAATTCTTTAAATAGTCATATTGCTGACATGGACGTTACACTGAATAACCATGCGCCCCAGATAATTATTCTCACAAAAATTGGCAGTGTCGTACTTAAAAACTCCCCCTCTTTTCCTGAATATCACTTTATATCTCAGGAAGGTACAAACTCTTTCGGAGGAGTTGCTATTCTTTGTCATCGTTCAATTAAGTATAAAGAATTTTGTAGAGAAAAATTTTTTATTTTAATACAAATAGAAACAATACCGGAACGAACTCTTATTGGTGCTGTTTATGTACCACCCGGAAAATCACCACCTCTTCATCTATTCTCAAAATGTAGAAATAAACCATTTTTTATATTCGGTGATTTTAATGCTAAACATAGTAGTTGGGATTGTGACATAAACAATGATAGTGGAAATCAAATAGCTTCGTGGTTAGAACAAACAGGAAATTCTATGATTTTACCTAATAAATCTACATCACGTAGATCAAATTCAATAATTGATTTTGGGTTAACTCAAGATGCTTCCGGTTGGATAACCGAAGTTTTAGATGAAGGTACCTCCGATCATTACCCCATTCTTATTCAATCACCATTATTCGTTGAAAATTCAAACAAATTCAGATGTACTAACTGGAGTATTTTTTCTTATTTTTTACGTTTGGTACATCAGTATTGGTTATCATTGGTATATAACTATGATGAACAATATTTCTTCTCATATTTTAATAATTTTCTTTCTAGTCTTTTGGATAGAAGTAGTATCTATAAATCAGCTAGAACTTATCGTCTCCCGTGGCCACCATATTTAGTCTTGCTTGCTCGGCAAGTGAACGGAAGAAGAAGAACATACCGTAGAAATAAAACAATAATCCATCTAATACATTTTCTACGATTAAAAGAGTTATTTCTTGAAGAAAGATCAAAAATTTTAAAACAAAAATTCGAAAATAAATTTGAATGGATAAAAAAAGATAATAATATATGGAAATTCACTCGCCCTATTTTTCATGCGTTTACTCCTCCATTCCGTGGAATAACAACAAATGATGAAAAGATAAAACAACCTAAAAAAATAGTAGACCTACTAGCCGATCATTATGAAAAACATTTTGATGAACCTGAACCAGATAATAATAATCTCTTTCATTGTGAATATCTATCCATTTATGATAAAATTAGTCGAGCACCAACTCTACCATCATCATCATCATCATCATGTCCCATAGGCTTAGCGCCCGTTGGGGCTAACCACTTACGAGATCAGATTTTTCCACGCCTGTCGGTCTTGCGCAAGATGAAATAGATCTTGTCCACTGCGTTGACACCATTCGGTTATATCATCCAGCCACTCTCTGCATGGACGCCCCCGTCTAGATTTTCCATCCATTTTAGCAAAAACAACGTGTTTAATTAATCTAGTGTCGTCCATTCTGCAGATGTGACCAAATAACCTTAGCTTTCTTCTTTTGATCGTATCTATTATCGTCTNTGCACGTTTTATTATTGAACCAACATCCATTTTTGTTTGTTTCGATGCAAATTTTTGCCATCGCAAGAAAGCGTCGGACATAAGCATATCACCTGTAGGTAACCCGCCATTTGCAACTACCACCCGTGCAAAACGATTATCTATTCCATTTGTGCCAACTAATTGTAAACCAATCAAACTGCCCCAGTCCTATCTCAAGCATATAAAATAATGATTGTCTAATTTACCTATGCCAAAGATCATGTGACGTTTTTCTTGCAGAGCAAGCGTTATATTTGGTGATTATACTCCACATGTCTCAAGCATTCGGATTCCAACTTCCAGTACACAGGAAAGGCACTGAATTTCATTTTTTCTTTTTACATACTGAAAACTATCTCTGTAAAGGACAGTGACTGAACCGAAAAATGATCTGGCTAGAGAACAACTGTAAATTGGCAAAATATGAACTGGAAAGGATATATCACGCAGATTTCGTATCTCATAACTCCCATGTTGTTGCGCAGCAGAAATATCCTTTAACCGAGATAATATCACGCATTGGCCTATTGCGCAATGCATCTATTACCGAACCAATTAATTAAGATATTGTGTATGTTAATAGAATTCTTACGAGAGTAAAGCAATGGTGTTCAGAGAAGCGATTTCACGTAATACTTAAGTAGAGAAGAATTTTGGTTAAGTTATATTAAATCATGAATACTTTGATTATCTTGAGTTACTCAATAAGTTATTGCAGTGTGATTATAAGTAGAAAAAGGGTCGAAATTATATAGGAATAATTCAATTTTTCCAGTTAGGGCCAATCATTCTATGGAGAAAACGAGATCATATCGAATCATATCTAAAAGCTCAAAACACTTCAAATAGTATCTTTGTGTCGCTGTTTTAGTTTTTATGACTGGGAAACGACTGAACGGTTTCTCGAAGACCCTGAGATATAGTTATACTGAAAACATCTCCATATCTATTCGGCTTAATGCTGTACTTGGAGTCAGCTCTAAATTCACTGACAATATGCTTCTTGTCCAATTTTAATTCTAGGCGTGTGAAATTTTCGGCGATAAAATGATAGAGAGTTTGGGATTTTGAAGTGTAGAAGAGAGTATGCATATCTATAGGAGGAAGTCATTCTTGGATGGATGATAATTCATTTCAGAGAGAATGATCTTGAAATTGAAGAAGGGAACTTTGAATCAAGAAAGTATAATATTTCCAAAAATGTTTTCTCCGATTTGCTGCTGAAGACTTATTATTGATCAGACAAGTAAGATCCGTAAACGCCTATTAATATTAATTCCATTAAAACAATAATTATACTGAAACTACGTCTTCTGAACTTGTATAGATTGTGAGCATCATCTGATCTGCTCGGAGTGCATCTCAAGTCTAAATTCCAGAAAATCATCGCTCTTTTCAATGCATTTGATATCAATTTTATTTTCGCTACCTAGTAACCGTTGTATGAGCTAATGAGCGTGTTTATGTTAGACTAGAGAGATTCTTTATCATATTTCTAGATGGCAAGGCACCGATTTCTACTTCTGGAAGCGAAATTATGCCTTTGATGAGTTTTAAAAACTCGATCATAGTCTCGACAGATTTTTTCTTGACGCTGGTCTTTTGCAGCATTATTTGGAAAAATACGAAGGTCTCATGAACACTACTCAGAGAATTGTAATTAATCGCTTGTATGAATCACCATTATCTTTCAGATTTCTGTATGCATTCTTACTTCACGCTTACCTGGCAGAATAATGTAATATCATTTAAATTTAAATATTCAAGAGCTTCTTTGATCCAGTTAACATGTCTTTGGTATGTATAATCAACTTTATTCATCGGTTTATCTGATTTACCAAATCCAATTAAGTCCATAGCAATTATTCGATATTCTTTTAATAAGGGTATAAAATGACGATACAAATAACTCCAACTTGGTTCGCCATGTAATAATAAAATTGTTTCTCTACTGTTCTTGCTTCCTTCGTCTAAATAATGTAGACGTAATTTTGTTTCTCCATTACCAATACAGCCAGGATTTGATAAATTAATATAATTTGGTTCAAAAGGATAATCCAATAGGTTGATGAATGCTGAATCGGGCGTACGTAATATACCTGTATATGTTGACATTCTATGAAGCTCGTTTCTGAATGGAATTCTGGTAAATATCGAACGAAACATGTTTTGTTTCGGTTGTATTTTATAGAGTATTCTTAGTAATCTAAATAAACTTTGTAGGTTCGTTTCGTAATCTACGTGAAGTCATTTTAAACAAAGTCCATTTATACTTCATATCTAATTATCCTTCAAACAATGAACAAAAAAGAATGTAGTGAAAAAGATTTGTAAAGTGCACTGTCATGAAGAGATATTTTTATTGCACTTTGTGATAACTGAAAGATTGTGATTATATTAGGTGAAGCTTTAGAGCGACTAGGAAATATATGGATTCTCTCTGCCAAAGGAATAAAAAAATGGAAAAAATGACATTTTTCATAATGAAACGGACATAATCATGCATGTTTTTTCATTTTCATCAATTAAAAATGAAAATTTGACGAATTTCATTTCATGATTTTGATTTCTAATTAAAATTATCATAATGAAAATGATTAAAAATCAAAATAATGAAATGAGATTGGTAAAAATTTTGATTTTAATCGATGAAAGTAAAAAAACATGCATGATTATGACCGTTTCATTATGAAAAATGTCATTTTTTTCAATCTTTTTACATAAAAGTCACCATTTTTTTTTTATTTCATGGGTGTAGTCAGAACATCGACAATATCATTATTTCACAACAGCAAAATAAGTTTCTCCAAAAGGTTTCTTCTTCATATTTAACTAGCCTCTTATCTTTCTTATTCACCATATTTTGGTCTCTTTGACAAAAAAGAACAAATAAGAAGACCTTATCTTTGTCATGCCTTTAATTTATTGTCATGAATAGAAGAAACTCAACTTCTATTGTACTTGTGACGATTTTCGATAGGAAGAATGGTAGTGCGGACGATATTAGAGTTTATTATATTTCTTTTCGTTAATAATCGCATTGTTTTCATACAAAGCATACGCTTATATACTCAACCTTCAGAGAGAAGAAAAGAATAAGAAAAGAAAGGATAAATAAGGACAGAAAATAAGAGAAATACGATAGGAGCAAAGTACAGCATGATATACGACGTGAGGACACAAAGATAAGAACAATACATAGTATGAGAAGAAACAACAAGCCAAGTCCAAACATCATGCATACAATGTACTCAACCGAGACCGTTACACTACTCTTTAAAAAAGAAAGGTGTCATAAGGAACTATTTAGAGTTTTTAGCGAGATCCTGAGCCTTCTAAGGTTCTAGGTTTGGGGACTATTTTCTGAACCTTCTTTTTAGTTCTAGCCGAAAAATCCAGAGTTTAAAAAGGTTCTAGCTAGAAAATGCAGAGCTATAAATCGTACTGTGTTTTCAGCGAGAACTAAAAAAGCCTCAGAAAATGCCACCCAAGGGTGTGGGTGTGGGTGGGTGTCGGGTGTGGGTGTGCGTGTGGGTGTGGGGTGTAGGTGTGAGTGTGGGTGTGGATGTTAATCTTCCCTTTATTCATACCACACCCACACCCACACCCACACCCACACCCACCCATACCCACCCATACCCTCCATTTTCGCTTATAATTGCGATAGGCTTCGGATATTATTTTCATCCCACACGAATATAGATTCATTGATGAACAAAATTTTCTCAAAAACAACAGAAACCTCGTTTTCTTTTTGATTCGATATAATTCTACTGGAGCCTTATTAAATGGCAAATATATTGTCTTTCTTAGAGGAACATGTGGCGTAAGAAACGTCTCATTATCTGACAGTTCTTCATTATTCATGGCAATTAAGTACAAAATGGGATGAAAGTTTTTTTTTCTGAGAATCCCCATGGGATAGAATGGAACATATGAGTTCTTCTCATGGAACAATTGTTCCGTCCATCCCATTAAACTCTGCAAATGTGACTGTTAGGAGAAAAATTGAGGAGAATATGCTCGTACAGAAAATTTTGTTCATCAATGAATCTATATTCGTGTGGGTGTGGGTGTGGGTGTGGGTGTGGGTGTGGGTGTGGGTGTGGGTGTGGGTGTGGGATGAAAATAATATCTAGGGATGTGCAGTTTCAGTGCAAATACTGAAATAGCGACAGTGCCACACTGACACTGATGTTCACTGAGCCAGTGACTGCACTGACACTGATGTTCACTGTACTGTATAGAAAAAAGGTAGAATAATAAATCTTGCTCTAACTGCAATTTTTTACAGTGCAGTGAACATCAGTATCAGTGTAGTCACTGGTTCAGCGAACATCAGTGTCGGTGCAGTCACTGGCTCAGTGAACACCAGTGGCGGTGCCGTCACTGGTTCAGTTAGCACTAGTGTCGGCGCGGTCACTGGCTCA